CATTGGATTAAGGCAACATAGGACTTAATTTATTAAACTTTAACTCCTTATGTTATTAAGACGCCTGCATTCCAAATTCTATGGGTAAAATTTATGATGAATTTTTTCGTACAAAGAAATTGCGAATAGTAAAGACAGTAAAAGTGAGGGAAAAATTGAGGATAATAAAGAAAATATCAATAAAGACAATTATAAAGAGCCACGAGTTGTACCCCCGACACACTATCTCCCTATGTATAAATTCACCCCCCAGGTACCCCATAACACACCACAGACAGGATGGAAATTTATTTTCCATTAACCACAGAGATGTTCAGATAGATTTTATATAACCAAGTAATATTTGAGGAAAACACAAGGCTTAAGTACTGTTGTTTAAAGCAAAAATATTCTGGATAAAAATATATTAAAACTGCATTGAAATCTGGGTTAGTGAATAGTCTAGGCATTAAGGACATGCAGCATCAAAGTTTATAAGCTCATGTGGAAATCAAATGAGGTGAATCCAGGTTGCCAGAGGGTGGAAGGAAAGAGAACAGATTTTCATATAAGTATTTATTAGCAAATACCTTCTTTGGAAAACAAATAGGTGGTTACAATGTACTTAAAGCTTTTATCCTCTTAAACAGTTTAAATACTCTCTAGCCATCTCGTTTGCATGATTAATTCACTTAGCAAATCCTTTACCTGTGTAGGGAGCAGGGGTGAAAACTGCAGCCAGACGTTGCCTGTCTCCAGGCAGGGGCATCTAGAGTCAGGAAGCTTGGCCGCCAGGTGGTGACACACTGGTAGGTGAGGAGCTCTCTCAGGCCTGCGGGGGATTTCTCCTGCCTCCTGAAGTGACAGCACTGAGTCTGTGGCCACGAGAATAATTTTCTTCCTAACGTTCAGCTGCAGATAGTCCATTCTGAACAGAGCTTCTGAACATTTTTAAGTAGAAAGAGCAAGTGGAAGGCAGTGGAAAACTGATTTTACATTTTGCAGGCATATTTCACTCTGAATTCCAAAGCCCAAAGTATGCCCGCTCACTTACTTGGGGTAATACTAACTTCAGAACTGAACAACGTTTTTTCTCTGCATTTTCTATTTGCCTTTCTCCTCTGCCTCTTGTGCTTGTTCCTGCCTGTCTTGTCAACATCTCTCTCTGCACTTCATCCTTGGATGACTTCTTTTTCCACTTAATTATTAGAGAGTATCCCCCATTCTTCTCATTTTGGAAATCTGATAAGTCCTTTTATAAATCTCTCTTCTCTTAAAGTGGAACGGCACTGCTGAGTTGACTTTTAAATTTATGGGCGATCCCCAAACTGATTTTTTTCCCCTAGTGAGTCAGGAGCTCTTAATTAGAAAGAAAAAAATAGTTCCCCTGCCCCTGATGGAGAGAACAGATGAAACTGTGTTATCATAGCCCGGCGCTGGAGGCTGGTCTGGAGCCGGGGAAATGAGCAGTGACTGCAGTAGCCGACCCTATAAACAAGCTCGGTTCATTAGCCTCCCTGCTGGCGTCTACGTGCCTGCACAAGGGGCGAATGACCATCAGCTTTAAGTTGGGGTTTCCTGGCTTTGTGAAGTTTGACATCTCAAATGTTCTTCAATTGTGTTTGGAGTATGTGTATTTCCCAGCTTTTATAGTAGTCTGTTTAAAGGAATGAAGAGACATTAAATATTTATTTTAGTTGACAAGATAAATGCAAGCTGCACTGGGAAGATATCTGGCAATTCTGAAATCTAGGTTTGTTTGTCCACTTCCAAAACATGCCCATTGTGTGCCTTTGAATGGATGATACATTAATTAGATTTTAAAAGACCATTTTATTATGAGGCTGATTATAGTAAATATTTCCTCTGAACATTTTAATTTAAAGATTCTAATCTTGAAAAGAAATGTAATTCCTTCAGGGGTAGAATCATATCTTTCTCAGAATGCCCACAGACTCATTTTTGAGGGTCTCTAGAAAATTCTAGGCCTGCCCAGAAACAGAAGCAGCTTATCTGGCAAATCAGGGAGCCTGTAAATGGCCAGCCCATTGTCAGCAGGGCTCACCCGTGCAGTTCTGATTCCCAGGCTAAGCTTGAAACACATTTGACCCAACAGAAAAGCTAGTTGGTTATAGGGCCCCACTGTTCTGTCTCCTTCTGCTCCCCGAATCTCCATCTTATCTAAGGTGCCGTGGGGTGTCAGCTCCACAGTCAGGCTGCCGGGGAATATGTTCATTGAGTTCAGAGACCTCTCTACTTGGGGCCAAGTGAGGGGACAACTAGTCCTGCTCTGAGACCAGCTAGCTGGTGCAAGTGAGCTGCTGGAATCTTGCTGGAGAAACCAATCCCCATTGGGCTGAATCAGCTGAGACCTAAGCCTCTCAGCCCTGTGGAGCTGCCCCTTGCTTGAAAAAGGCTTTAACCCCTCCGAATCTCACCCAGGCAGAGAACTTGCCTCTTTTCCTCCTCCCTCAAAATCAGACACCCTACACAATGAATAAAGGAAGGGCTGCATATTATAAGGGGTTCCACTGCAGGCTGTGTGTGTGTGTGTGTGTGTGCGCGCGCGCGCACACACACATGCATGCATATGCATGCGTGTATGCAAACCAGTGTTCATTGAGACAGATAATCATGTTCTAGGAAGAAAAGGAGATCATTAGCGCCCAGGTTCCTTAGCAGTGCTGGAATAGACAGAGCTCTAGTTGTACCTTAGGTCTAAAGAGAAATCCATCTACCAGTCAGCTGCTCAGGTATTTACTAAGCACTCATTGCAAGGGAAGCAAAAGGAAAAAGTAGTCCCTGAGCTCAGGTGTTGATGGCCTAGGATATGAAAAGATGATGCATAATTCTCTGTGACGTTGTACACACCCCGTAGGACTTCAGAAGGAGAGATTAGTGAGGACTGGAAGGATGGGAGAGGGCTCTATGGAGAAGGTGAGGCCTTGGCGTGGCCCTGCAAAAGTCGGGGCTTGGAGAAGAGAAGGCATAAAGGTTCTGCAGCAGGAATGAGTTTGCCAGGTATGGAGAACTGTGAGCAGAGGGATCTGCCAGGGCAGAGAGAACACAACATGCAAATTGCCTGGAAGATGGAGACTAGATTCTGGGGGGACTTGGAACTTAGGCAGAGTTTACTCTTGATGTGGTTGGTGATATGGCAAGCTGTAGATGCTTAAACAGGAAGTGACAGGATGGAAATAGTATTTTAGGACAACTTAGTGTGACAGACATATGCGAGTTAACCTGCTTGGAGGGGGATGAAGAGTAGAGATGAGAAGCCAAGGAGCCATGCCTCTGCCTCCTGCTTCTGCTTTCTTCTCCATGTTGTTAATCCCCAAAATGGATGAATGACAGGCCCATCTCCAGAAGTCATGCGTTCTAAAATAGTAGAAGCAGTTCTGTAGTAGTGAGGATACATCATCACTTCTAACTCGTGATGGGCCAAGTAAACACGACAGTGAATCCATGAGAAAAATGTGTGAGATAACAAAGATTCTGTGAAATATTTAGGTATGACATGGTAAAGCAGCCAACCTAGTTGTTCTTGGGCAGGGTTTTGTTTATTTTAATAATTTCAGCAAAGGGTCCTAAGAGCTTTAAGTGATTCTTCATGGTCCTCCACATTTGCCTTTTCTCTCATTTTCCTATCAAAACCAGACATCTTACAGAATGAAGAAAGGGACATTTGGGACAGCCAGCCTCTGTCATTTCAAAGCTGCCTGTTTTTCTGACAGTGTAATAAGGGGGCAGAATTCTATGACTGTGATTTAATATTTCCTCCACTCAACACCTCTCACCCTCCCTCCTTTCCTTGAAATAGGGAAGGACAAGTAGAAGCAGCTGTGGGAGGCACACTTGATGTCCAAGGGTACCTGAGGCCACAGGCAGGACCTGGGAGAAGCATCCAGAGGCGTGCGGGTTGAAGCACAGACAGGGCTCTCCTGCCCAGGCTCTTCCCCACTCTGCAGCTAACACAGAGACAAAGGCGGCTCCGTGCCATTTCCCCACTTCAGGCCCATAATTTGTACTTTTCAGCTGGCCAGTTGGCTCAGTTAATAGGGCATGGTGCTAACAACACCAAGGTCAAGAGTTTGGATCCCGATACAGGCCAGCCACACACACACAAATCACTTTCCATTTGTATCGCCTTCTACTCTGATAAGCTCAGTCTAGTAATCAGGAGGCCCCAATTTTCATTCTTGTTCTATCCCTGGACACTTGTGTTGACATCAAGCAAATTGTCTGACCTCTCTGATCTCTGCTCCCTCGTCTGCAAAAACTGGGGGTGGGGTGTGTGAGCCCCTTCCAGTGATTCTTGGGGAACAGGCATGTGTATGTAGTGGGGATGGTGGAGAGAGAATAGGTGCTTTGCTTCCTCCCAGACACTACTTCAGGAGGCAGGAACAGCGGGGGTTTGGGTAGATCCACAAGTGCAGGTTGAGCACCATGTTTTTTCGCATGGATAAATGGCATGACCAGAAAGTGTGGATTGTGTTCATCTGAATGTGTGCATTTGATTTGTCTTCTGGGTTTAGCTCCTTCAGCCCCAGCCCATACACTATGCCAAGTTCATATGGTCTTTCTTCTCCACGTGCTTTTTTTTTAAAATTTAGAATCACAGAACTGATTGGTTACCACCCTGAAGAGCTGCTTGGCCGCTCAGCCTATGAGTTCTACCACGCACTGGACTCTGAGAACATGACCAAAAGTCACCAGAACCGTAAGTTCCAGGAGTGCCCCATGTGACTTCCTTATGCCCGTGGAATCTGGCCTTGGGTGGGGTGTGATTGGTGAGACAGAAAACCAGGTCGCTCCCTTCACAGAGCCACCATATTGTGTGGCAGACAAGACTGATGTCCTCAAGATGTTTAGAGAACCAAGGCTGCCACCAGCCTATATTACACCTTCATGCACATTAGTAAAACAACCCATGCCAAGGCACACAGCCTGGAGAGTGGAGGATAAGTTGAACCTCAGTCCCCACATACCACCTCCGCTAAGCACCTTCATGCAGTCAACAGTCTGCATAACCCTCCAGAACAGACCCAGAGAGAGTAATACAAGACGATATGTAATCAACGTGGGTCTGTACTATAGAGGCAAGCACATTCATTCATAGAAGAGGAGGGCTGGGGGAGTTAAGGAAATGCCCCTTGAGTTGGACCTTGAAGGATGGGAGAGGATGAGGCTAAACAGAGGGAAGGTAGTATGGGACCATCTTCATACCTGTGTTGAGGTAGGCATGGTTCTGTAAGAGCTGGATCAGGAGAACTTTAGAGGAGGCTATGCAGGCAACTCAGCAGTGGCATATGGAAACTGCTTGCAGCTTGAAAGAAACTTAAGTTATGCAAGGATTCTAAAACAGGGCTGTACAATAGAACTTCCTGGGATGGAAATGTTCTACATCTGCATAGTCCACATGTGATCTATGCAGTACTTAAAATATGGCTAGTGCAACTGAGGAACTGAATTTTTTAAAACTTAATTTTAATTAATTTAAACTTAAATAGCCACATTTGGCTTGTAGCTACCATATTGGACCAGAGTAGTTCTAGAGTGTTCACTTGGCCATGTTCCCAATTCAGACTTCCCATTTGCAGGTGATCCAGGACAGTTTCCTTGAATCAATACAACTGATCAACCTGCAAGTACTCTGGGCCTGTTACCCTACACTTGGCCCACTGGGGACAACAGAAATTGGTAGAGTTGATCCCTGCCCCAAGGAATCTTATTTCTGAGGAAAAATGGGGATTGTGGGCTCCTTGGGAGCAAGGTGGCTCGTGTCTTTAACCTCAGTGTCTAGCATAATGTCTGGGATAGTACAAAATAAGTGCCCTCGGTCATGCAGACAGAGGTGCTGAGAGGATTGTAGGATTAAAAATGGGTAAAGTAAGTCTGAGAAGATTCCCCGTGGCCTTGCTGGCTATGTGTTCATTGTTCCTAAATCCTCCATCTATCCCAAGGTTAGGACAGCTGAAGTTCAGAGCAGCTAACAGACTGGCACCTGCACAAGCTGTAGTCAAGCACAGTTAACACTCTCTTAAGGACTGAAATCTTCTCTTTCTAACTGGTTCCTCTGCTTTGTCCTCATGGCTTTTGGGTTTGATCTGACAGTACAGGAGGGCCCATTATAATGTCACACAGAAGTTTCTAACTGTGCTCTCTGGCAGAAGACAAACAAAACGAGCTAGATTCAGCCCCATTCAAGGACCCAAGGATGGGGAGGGAGGTGGAGGTACTCTTGTGTACCCATGAACACGACCCAGCCGCAGCCTGCCCCAGCTCTGAAATTACAAGATTTGGTTCCAGCCTTACCTTTGGGATTCCTCATGCTTTCCTGGTCTGTGAGGGGTTCCTACGCCCAAGGGCAGGTTGACAGGGTCATCAGGCATAGGGACTCAGAAGCCCGAGCTCAGGCCCAGCAGACCCACTGATTCCCCAGGATCTGGCTTTCTGGGTTTAGAGGTAAAATTAGGCGAAAGTCCAGCCTTCCATCTAAGCCAAAGTTTGAAGCCATAGCAGGGGACAAACATACAAAGTTTCTGGGAATTCTTGGAGGACAGCATTATATTTTATTTTTGGGGGGTGGGAAAGCAAAGGAGCTAGTCAAAGGGAACAAAAATGATGACTTCTCAATTATGACTTCTTATTAGGCATATAAAAAAGATTTTTCCCCCTCCTCCTTCTTAAAACACCTTTGATCATTAAAAAAGGCTGGGATAAAAGTTTTCTGCTGACTCCAGGGAAAATATGGCACTTCTTACTGAATCCACATATTTAAGCATTAGACACACTTAAATGTAATTCATAGCCCAAATTAAAATCCAGGCTCTCTTCTTCCCCTGACAGAACTGAGTAAAACTGCCCTGAGCCCAGAGTACTGTTCCCCAGCCAGCAAGCCCACATCCAGCAAAGAGAAGTCTGCATGGGTTGGAAATTGGGTTAATGTCACTTATGATAGGAGCATCTCTCTCTCTCTCTCTCTCTCTCTCTCTCTCTGTCTTTGGGCTTGTGCAAATAAAGTCACACTACAGACTCACACTCATGCTGTGGAATAACTGGAGGCTTAGGTTTGAGGCTGGTCTAGGTTTATACTCTGGGGTCCCAAATTTATACACATGTATGCGTCTTAGCCTGTAAAGGTTTACCCTTGAAATGACTGGTGTAACTCAGTCCTCAATCAGATTTAGATCATTGAAAGCCATCATTTCCAAATGGATTAATAATTTATTCATTGTTACTCTCAGAGGATGGGAGTTGGGGGGGGGGGGGGTCCATTTCTCTTTGTTGTATGAGGATATTATGTGCTCTTAGGAAAACTAGATTAAAGGCCATAAAAAGCCTATCTGCCAAGTAGCAGGCCCCTCACCGAGGCTGGCATTAACAAGCAGATGATTAGAAAGCTGGCGTTAATTACATTGTACTGACAGAGCAGGCCCTCGCCTGCAGTTGCTAGAAATGCAGTTAAAACCTTTGCTCACTGCACTGCTTAATCAAAAAGAATAATAGACCTAAATTTGGTTTGCATTAAGAACCGTCTAAATAAGTTAACTCCAGGCACTTGAAATTGTGCAAGAATCATTTTACTGTAGCAGGGAGCCTCGATGGTACAGATAAGGGAGGGCAGAAAAGACAAAAGTTATTTTTTGGGACAAGGAGTCCATGATGGTTTAGAACAGTGTCAACAGCAAATTTAGTCTTCCCTATGATGTGTGGTTCAAGGTCGTATATAAGAAAACATTGTGCTAGGAGCCACAAGACCTGTTGTCTAGCCCAGACTCTTGCTACTGTCCTGTGTCATATTAAGCAAGTCACAACCCCTCCAACCTTAGTTTCCTCATGTTAAAAGAAGATGATATCTATCCTCCCTACAGCACAGGATTTTGTTAAAAAGATTAGACTAGGATGATACAACCACTTTGGAAAATAATTTGGCAGTTTCTTTATAAAGTAAACATATACTTAGCATATAATCCAGCAATTGCACTCCTAGCTACACCCACTAGAAATGAAAATCTATGTCCATACAAAGATTTATACACAAATGTTTATAGAAACTTTATTCATAATAACCCAAAACTGAAAACAATTCAAACATCCATCAACATGTGAATGGATATACTAATTATACCATAATATAGCCATGCCATGAAATACTATTCAGTGATGAAAAGGAAGGAACCCCAAATACCTGCAACAACACGATAAATCTCAAAACATGCTGACTATAAAGAAGCCAGACACAAAAGATGCATACTCTTGTGTAATTCTATACATATGAAAAGCTAGAAAAAATCATTTCGATATATAGTGATAAAAAACAGCTCAGTCAGTGGTTGCCTGGAACCTGAGGGTTGACTGCCAAGAGGCATAAGGAATTTTGGGGGGTAACAGAAGAGTTCTATACTTTTACTATGGTGATAATTACATAAGTTATGTGATTTGTCAAAACTCATTGAACCATGTGCTTAAAATGAGTGCATTTTCATTGAAGGTACATTAAACCTCAATAAAGTTGGTTTTTAAAAATGAAAAACAAAAAAACGTTTAGACTAAGAGTCTTTAATTTGGACTATAATCTTGTCTCCTGTTTCCAATGAGGGGGCCTTTCAGCAATTCACTTAGTCTTTCTAAGCCTCAGTTTTTCAGATGTAAAGTGGGAATAATGATAGATATGTCATGGTGTTGCTCATTAAACGAGGTGACAATGACACTAATTTTATTGAGTGCTTATGTGCCAGGCACTATTCTCATTGCTTGGCAGAAGTGAATTCATCTTATGAGACAGTTTTGGACATTGCAAAGCAGAATACAAATGTAAGTTACAGTAATTCCTGCACCTTGCAAGTCCTTGTTAAATTTTTGAAGAGGGTAAAATGTGCCAAGCAAAAGATAAGTGTAAAGGATTACAAGCACGATTAGTACGAACCAAGCTGCATTTCTCAACCACACAGAGCTAGTGAGTGGGGAGGTGGCCCACGAGCCTACCAGGAGAACTGGGCAGACTCTGTTTTACAGAGAACCTGGATATTCCCTCAGGAGGTCCCTCATGGAATTATCTACAAACTTCCGATACAACATTCGTCAGTGACATTCAGTCAACATTTGTGTACCGATAAGCCAGGCAGGAATATTTGATCCTCAGTACAAACAGCAGGGGTATACTGGGTAGCTAATAATGGCAATTATTATCATTACTGCTGTTGTTATCAACACCCCGTTTTGCAGAGGAGGAAACCAGAAACAAGAAGGATTGTTTCTTTCCCAAAGTCCCCAAGGTAGCAAGATTTCCTGATCCTTCCACCACGCCTTTTCCCAATTTTCTGTGTCTCACAGGGACTTCTAAGCTGGAGTTCTGAAGAATTAATTCCCAAGGAATGAAAAAAAATGGGCAGTTCAGAAAACTATCAGAAATTATACCACTAGTAGACTTTAAGGGAATTTATTGATTCCTTTTTAATGGGAGCAGATGGAACATTCTGGACTGTGGAAGAGGACAGTCTGGGGTGTGGGATCCCTTCCCCAATGTTTTTAGACAGTAACAACACATTTTAAATGAACATTTAGAATGATCTGGAAGGGGAAAAGTCATAGGCAGCCTCACTGGGCAGGTGGGAGAAGGGCTCTAAAGGACTCATCACGGCGTATGAAGAGACTGTGTGCAGCTGCTGGGACCTCAGCCCTTTCTTGGCCCCAGTGGATGGGTTGAGGTGGGGTTGCCGCTGTCTTTGCTGTAAGTCACAAGCCTTCTACGGGCCCAAAGGTGGCAGGCCTGACAGATGACCTGGAAAAATTGAGGGTATCATTTTTTAAAAAAACCGTTTTTAGTCGCAAGCAGGGTCTTGGTGGCAGGTGTGCTGTGGAGGGCTGCCCTGAGGTCAGGCTTTCTCCCAAGCTGCCCTGCTGCCTTGCCGCCCTGCCGCCTGGAGTGTTTGGCAGGAGAGCTTTCCTTATCCAATGCTGAGGGGCTTCCTCTCATTGAACTCCGTGGGGAAAGTAGGGCAGGTTCTGCTCTTGTTCCCGCTTACAGCAGAGCTGGTCTGTGAGCCCGACTTGGCAGGGGGCTGGTAAGGGACCACTGCAAAGCCACATAGTGAGTCACTCCCTCGCTGGAGCCTTGGGGAAGTCACTTAACCTTCTCTTTGCCCCCTTCTCCTGTATTAAAAACGAAGAGTTGGCTGAGATGGTCTCCAAGGTCTTCTGCAGCTCATTTTCCCTGGTCCTGTTTTTCCTCCGCTAGTGTGCACCAAGGGCCAGGTGGTGAGTGGCCAGTACCGGATGCTCGCCAAGCATGGGGGCTACGTGTGGCTGGAGACACAGGGCACTGTCATCTACAACCCTCGCAACCTGCAGCCCCAGTGCATCATGTGTGTCAACTACGTCCTGAGGTGAGCGTGTGAGGGCTGCTGGGCTCAGGGACTGGGCATGTGGGCTGCCAGCACAACAGGCCCAATGCATGCTGGGCCTCTGGGTACCCTACACACATGCCTGGGAGTTCTCGGCAGTGCTGATCCTTATGATTGGGAGAGCTTCCCATGGATGTCGTGGGGACAGCGGGATACCCTCTTGTTTATCATTCATGCCATGCCTCTGACCCAGGCAGGGAGCACACTGTAGTCAAATGATAAATATTTTCTGAATGGGGAAAAAGGGAAGAGAACTGCTTGTGCTTTCTGGGAAAAGCAGCTGCAACACCTTGTCTCTGTAGCATCTGGGAAGGAAGCTAGAGGAAGTCACTGCAAGGGTGGGAAAAAACCCAAAGCATTCAGGCCTGGTGTACACCACCCAGATGAAGCACAGTAACAAAACAGCATTCAAAACATATATGAGGCTACTTCAAAAAGTTCATGGAAAGACTCATATTACCTTTTGATTCATTCTTTTCTACAAAACTTTTGAAGTACCCTTGATGTTCAGAAGATAGTCTCCTTGTCACCCCCTCCATGGCTCATGCTCTTCCATTGGGTGCTTCTTTACAAAATGCAGTGTCCTACCCATTGTCCTTTTGTCTGAGAGGCTTAGTGGTCAGGGTTTCTGTGTGTCTTTGGGAGCAAAAGGTTTTGCAAGGCAATGTGGAAGGTCTGAACGGCTCTCCTGTCCCATTAGTGAGATTGAGAAGAACGATGTGGTATTCTCCATGGACCAGACTGAATCCCTGTTCAAGCCCCACCTAATGGCCATGAATAGCATCTTTGACAACAGCAGCCCAGTGGCAGTGTGTGAGAAGAGCAACTTCCTGTTCACCAAGCTAAAGGAGGAGCCCGAGGAGCTGGCCCAGCTGGCCCCCACCCCAGGAGATGCCATCATTTCTCTGGATTTCGGTGGGTGCTTCTTAGCTGAGCTGAGCCCACAAGACCCCCTTGGGGCTGGGGGAAGTTCTTACCCTAACAGCCCCCCTGGCCCCCACCGGGTACAGGAGCGACCCCTGCCCCTTCTCCAAGTCTTGCTCATCACCTATTCATGATATGTTGTGCTCTGCTGGGCACAAAACAGCACATATACCTGCCACTGAGTAAGACCCTGCCATATGTGACCTCATGATGCACTGAGTGAGGTGGGGTTATGAAAGGACGCCCTCCTGAGGAGTTGATTTGCCACCACAGGCGGTGGGAGCCTGAGACAAGGGGAGGGGGGAGGTAAGACGAGACTTCTGCTCTGAGTCCACTCGGAGGTAGTCGCAGAGAGGGCAGATCCCAACCCAGGTCTCAAAGTGCAGCTTGCTCCTTTAGGCGGAGGGCTAAGTTGGAATAATGTAGGGAGGGATAATTCCATAAACATGGATGGAGAACAGATTCAGGCCCAGGATTAAGTCCTCAAATGCATGACTTCATTCAATGTTGGCCTGCGCTCTAGGGATGCAAGTGGCCCTTGGCAGAGTTTTCAGCCCTTCCCCCTACTCCATTCTGGAAACATCCCTGAGGTGCACCAGGGAATGCCCCTGCTCCCCAGTGTGAAACCCACCACTACCCTTCCCCGGCCTTGCCATGCCTGCTGGAGAGTAGCTACGGCTGTAGCGCTCACCCTGGGCTGTCTCGGCCCCTCCTGGTTGTGTTCTTGAGAGCTGTGTGAAGACCACAGCTTCAGAGAATGGTGAGGGGCAACAGGCCCTGGGACCAGACGTCCTGCAGCCTTCTTATTTAGTGATAGTGCTGAGGCAGACAGCCCAGTGCTCCTCTCATAACTTCTTCGTCTATGTTCTGGATTGTTCTTCAGGGAAGAGTGGCTCCTAATACATTTAGTCTCTGAAAATTAAATGCTCCAGGAGAATGTTCTTTTTAAAGGGAGTCACAGCCCCAGTCAAAGGCCCATTTGTCCTAGCAAAGCCCTGGGGTGCTGAGGGCCTAGCCCCAGACATTCTTGCAAGACCCTTTAGGACCTTCTGTGCCACATTTGGATTTCCTCTGCCCTGGGGTGCTCACCAGCCAGGCCCTTGTCTCCATAGGGAGCCAGAACTTCGAGGAGTCCTCAGCCTATGGCAAGGCCATCCTGCCCCCGAGCCAGCCCTGGGCTGCAGAGCTGAGGGGCCACGGCACCCAGAGCGAGGTCGGAAGCCTGCCTGCCTTCTCCGTGCCCCAAGGAACCGCACCGGGGAGCACCACCCCCAGTGCCACCAGCAGCAGCAGCAGCTGCTCCACGGTGAGCACCCCCACTACTTTGGGTGAGGGTGTGGGGGGTAGGGGGGATCCTATTCTGGCTGCTGCCAGATGGCTGAGGGGACAGTTGAGACAGAAGTACTGCCCTCTTTTTCCAGTTATCACAGAGCCCCCTAGGGTACCTGTGACACTTACATGCCAGGTATTAGAGCTGTTTGCATGCTTAGTGTCCACTCCCCTCCCCCATCGAAATGATAAGCTCCTTTGAGAACCATGAGCCTCTAGCCCAGCCCCTGTGCAGGGCAGTCTCCATCCTGCCTGGGGCATAGAGATGCAGTTTGCCGAGCCCTGCCAGCCATAGCCTTTACCCTGTTTGCTCCTCAAAGTAGTAGCCCCTCCACAAATACTTTTTTGGTGGAATGCAATTGAATCTGTGGGTCCAAGAATGTATTTCTCCTTCCACATTGGACTTCTGGGGAGACTGGTGCCATATCATTGACTTGGTCCCTCTCCCTCCTGGCCCCCAGCCCAGCAGCCCTGGAGACTATTACACATCTATGGATGATAACCTGAAGATTGAAGTGATTGAGAAGCTTTTTGCCATGGATACAGAGGCAAAGGACCGGTGCAGCACCCAAGTAAGTGGCCGTGGAGAAGGTCAGGGTGGCGTGCCATGCCTGCTGTCTGGTGGAAGCTTACGTCCATTCTGCAGCCATCTCCCTTTACTGCAAAGACGAGTGGAGATGTTTGGCCAGGGCCCTTAAGGGGTGAAGGTACAGGGAAATGGAGCCTGTGGTCGGCCCCATCTCCTACTTCTGCCCTCTGTCAAATCCAGCTCTTCCATTTTTAACTCTCAATTTATTTATCTACTCTCTTGGATAACCTTCTTAGTACACATGAAAACCAAAACTACAACCAAACCTTTCTTTAAGGAGGGCCTGTATTTGAAAAGCATATCCAGATTTATAGAACATTTATAAACATAGAGGACAAATACTTCTTTCACGAACATACTTATTCCATAAGGCCAAATGTTCTTGCAAAACCTATGTTAACAAGGATAAGGTGGGTGGATGGGTACGTTTCACAAAACCCCTGGGAAAATCACTGATTCCCCCATTTGTCTTAGTCTGGGATGTTCCTCCAGATTTCCACCTTGCTCCTCAGCTCATGTCTTGGTCCTGCCTGGCACAAGTTCTAGCTATTCTGCAAAATTTCCCCTATTTCGGCCCTCTGTCTCCCCTTCTCTCCTTGGAACTCATGGAGGATTTATCACTTAGGACGTAGTTACAGGCATCTGCTCTTTAGACATTTCACGTAGTTGTAATCATTAATAAGCTGTGCCCCCCCCCCCCCCCCCGGAACTCATGGACCATTTATCACTTAGGATGTAGTTACAGGCATCTGCTCTTTAGACATTTCACGTAGTTGTAATCATTAAAAAGCTGTGCCCCCCCCCCCCCCCCCGGAACTCATGGACCATTTATCACTTAGGATGTAGTTACAGGCATCTGCTCTTTAGACATTTCACGTAGTTGTAATCATTAAAAAGCTGTGCCCCCCCCCCCCCCCCCGGAACTCATGGACCATTTATCACTTAGGATGTAGTTACAGGCATCTGCTCTTTAGACATTTCACGTAGTTGTAATCATTAAAAAGCTGTGCCCCCCCCCCCCCCCCAGCGAGGGTATCAGTCTCTGAAGGTAGAAACCGCTTTTCTCCGTCTGCCTGTGAGTATTCCTTACAGCGGCCCTCATGATCTCGGAGGAACTGCTGATGGGAGCAAATGGTCTGCTCCCTCTCAGGCCTGGCTGTTACTCTGCGAGAGTCCACAGATAGACCCTGGGCACTCACAACATGCTAAGGCCTGTGCCAGGGCATACAAGGGAGGCGAAGAAAGCTGACCTTTGCTCCCCGGGAGCCATGGTGTGCACCACAGACCTAAGTGTTATAGGATGACAGGGAAAGGGGCAGTCCCCCCAGGCTGGAGTAGGCAGGGGTGGCTTGCCCAGCTGCGAGAGAGAAGGCAGGGTTTGCACAGGTGGAATGGAACGAGGAGAGCATTTCAAGTGGGGAGATGACACCCATGTGGCGCATGGAGATCTGTGGCGCAGGGTGAAGAGGGGGTAAACACATGAGAAGGCTAGTGGCACATGATACAGAACACCTTGCACACTAGATGGTCAAGTCCAAATTTTCCTGGAAACTGAAGGGAACCAATGGAGGTGTCTGAGCTGGAGGGGTGTTCCTGAGGCTCCACCAATCACTCAGCCTCTTTGCCTTTGCTGTGTCCCCCCTCAGACGGATTTCAACGAGCTGGACTTGGAGACGCTGGCACCCTACATCCCCATGGATGGGGAAGACTTCCAGCTAAGCCCCATCTGCCCAGAGGAGCGGCTCTTGCCAGAGAACCCGCCGGCCACACCACAGCACTGCTTCAGTACCATGACGAACATCTTCCAGCCCCTGGCCCCTGTGGCCTCTCACAGCCCCTTCCTCCTGGACAAGTACCAGCAGCAGCTGGGAAGCAAGAAGACAGAGCCCGAGCACCGGCCCATGTCCTCCATTTTCTTTGATGCTGGGAGCAAGGTGTCTCTGCCACCATGCTGTGGCCAAGCCAGCACCCCTCTTTCTTCTTTGGGTGGCAGATCCAACACACAGTGGCCTCCAGATCCACCATTACATTTCAGACTCACCAAGTGGTCTGCTGGGGACCAGCACACGGAGCCGTTGGGGTCCCCTGTCACCTCTCCCCGTGTCTCCATGTTCAAGACCAGGTAAGTGGCAGAGACACTTAGCTGTCTCAGCAGGGACTGGCTGAGCAGGGTGGGGACAGAGAGGCACCCACTGATGGGACATCTGGAGCCCTATCATCTCATCCCACTCCACAGCCATCTGATGGGCCCATGTGGCCCTTCTCTGAGCTCTGAGAGCTCAGTCTTGGGGGGAATCACCTTTAGATATGTGAAGCCTAGAGCAGGACAAGTTTTTATCAGGGCTGCAGAAGATCAAGAGGAGACTGAGGACAGGCAAAGGGAGAGAAGTGGCTCGTTGGGAGCCTTGAACCCTGCCATCTCCCTTTGGACTGCCCCTTAGAATGCTTTTCTTATCCAGAGTTCATGTGAGCCACAGAACATATCTGAGTGACTGTTTTCTCAGCCTTAAGTATGGGGTCTGGGTGGGCCTCTGAGGCGGCGTGGGCTCCAGACTCCCTCACAGCCCACTTTCTTGGGCTTGGCAGGTCTGTGCAGGGCTTCGGGCCACAGGGCCCAGATGTGACCAGCCCAGCTGCAGCGGCCCTCTCCCACAAGCTGAAGCGACAGCTGGAGTATGAGGAGCAAGCCTTCCAAGATGTAAGTGGGGTGAGCCATCCCCAATAGCACCACAGGGGCCCTCCACAGTCCTCGGGGCAGGCTGGGTGGGAGGACCTCAGTGTGGCCCCTCAGAGTGAGCACCAGCCGCACTCCGGCACAGCTGCCCCGAGCCTACCACACCCACCCTCGCCTCCACCTGGGTACCTGGCCCTCTCCCCTCTACATCTGCCTTTCCCACACCAGGGGGATCCGCCAGGGGGCAGCGCTTCACACGTGATGTGGAAACGGATGAAGAGCCTTGGGGCGGGGAGCTGCCCTTCCATGTCCATCAGGCCACTGAGTGCAACTGTCCCCAATGGTGAGCAGTAGCCACAGGTCAGGGGTTCCTGAGGATTCTGGTGGAAGGACTGGGGCCTCTGGGGCCCATCCTCACTCACCACAAGCCTGACCTACCTCTGAGCCTGGTTAGAATGGTGTCCTCTGCCCCACCTTCCACGCCCCCCTTACCCCTTCCCACTCTGGCTTGGATGATGTGGTCAGAAGTCTCTGGGCTCTGAAGCCCCAGGGGCTGGCAGTGCTTCTAGGGGCTTCATGGTCTCTCCCCTCACTCTCTGGCTTTGATATTTCAGATAAGTTCACCCAAAACCCAATGAGGGGCCTGGGCCAGCCCCTGAGGCACCTACCACCACCACAGCCACCATCTGCTGTGTGCTCCAGGGAGACTGCCACGAGTGGGTTCCCCCCACAGTGCTACGCCCCCCAATTCCAGGACTGCAGACTGCCGTTAGCTCCCAAGGGGTCAGGTGAGTGTGCTCAGGCACTGGCACCCCCATCCCAGGGTGTGGTATGTGTGGGAGGCCAGCATCTTCACACACATTTTCCAAGTTCAACACTTGGAAAAGCATCGGAGCCTTTAAACAACTGCCGTTGTTGAGTCCCTGCTCTCCCCGGGTGCCGTGCTACTATGTATGGTATGGAGGAGTCCTCCGCTGGCCGTGGTGCTGGATTCCCTAGGGCCAAGCCCACCTCTCCTTTCTTCCAGGGCCTGCACAGTGCCTGGTGCATGGTGGTGCTTGGCAATGACTTAAAGAAAGAGCCCTTTCCCTGAGCTTAGGTCCCCTGGATTTGAGCCTCTTCTCCATAAGTTCCTCTGACACATCAGCAACCAGGCCCCCTTGAGGGGAGGGGGGTTGTGAATCTGAGACACAGCTAAAAAAAAAAAAACCCAGAAAACACAAGCTCAGACTAGGCAAACTGAAGGAGAAAATGCAGACCACAGAGGGCTGCACTCCAGCTCAGCTGTCCTGGAACACTGCAGTGTTCTGCAGACTGAAGGCTGTTGACTCCCAGGGGTCCTTTCAGAAGAAAGACGGCAGTCAGGTCAGGGAGGGGGGCAGGAGAAGAGAAGGTGAATGAGGTGGAGGGGGCCCAGGGAACAGACATCACAAGGGAGCGGGTCTTGTCTCCATGGAGAGACAGCTACCTCGTGTCTTTCACTCAGTTTTTCATGTTCCTGTATTGCCTACAGTCCCCTTGCCATAGAGGGAGAATCACCTGAGTGCAGGCAGGAGCTGATGATGGTTCCTGGGAGGGTTCGCTGCAGCCCCCGATCCTGCCTTCTGCCCTGGGCCACCTTAGTCTGTTACCGTCTTGCAAAGCACAGATGTCTTCACAAAAGTTTTCTATTTAGCACGGACATATTTTGAAGAAACATACCAGACCCCATCCCAAAAGAAGGCACTTTCCTCAGCAATAGAGTTTGGGACAATTATAGTTCCGTGCTTCAGAGTCCAGGCAGTGGAGCCACAGCCAGCCTTGGGCTTCCATCCGGCTCTGCTACAGACCAGCCAGATGACAAACACATCAGTATGGTCAAGGAGAGATCTGCACGTCAGTGCTGAGTTTGGTGACTGTGTGCATTTCTGTGTAGTAAAAGGTAGCCAGCATTATTAGTCCTGTTGTGAACCCTACACATTTCCTTGAATGTTGAAATCAAGGGAAAATCACATTCTTTTCAACTAAGGTCATCTCTGACCATGAATTAAAAAGCGGGGGTGGGGATTAGCAAGGGCCAGTGTCTGTTGATACTGTTGTCAAGTGGGGGAGGCAGGCGTGGACCCTAGGAAGGGTCTGGGTTAGGAGGTTCCAGATGTCAGGGGATGAGGCTGTGAGCCACGTGTGGATGTGTGTAGTGTGCATGCATGTGTGTGTGTCTATACAGGCACCCCTCGGTTCTGAATTCCCTCTCTGCTCAGCCTTTCCTCCTTGCTGCCAGTGCATGATGGGGATGTGGCCGGCCACCCCAGGCCTTGCCCATGCTCTTGATGAAGGCTTCATGAGGGTTCCTACCACCCCACCTTGCACCTTCCTCCTCCTTGGGTCTCAGCACCCCACTGGTAGCTGGATCTAGAGGCAGACATGTCCTCTGCAGGGTCCATGTGTCCTCCAAGTATGGAGTAGGTCATAGGAAAGCTGACACTGAAGGAGCAGAATGAAATTGGGGGTGCCCTGCTCATACCCCACCCCATCACGAAAACGGGAAATGCCTCTTTCTGCATGTGCCTTTCTTGTCCCTGCTAGCCTCTTATGGAACACTTTTCCAAATGTTTGATCTAGGCCTTCTAACATATGGTACCAAACACTCTTTCAGGCAGAGCAAGCCGGCTGCTCGGGCCCTCGTTTGAGCCCTACCTGCTGCCTGAACTGACCAGATATGACTGTGAGGTGAACGTGCCCGTGCTGGGAAACTCCACGCTCCTGCAAGGAGGGGACCTCCTCAGAGCCCTGGACCAGGCCACCTGAGTCAGGGCAGCACCCACTGACACCATCTCACCAGCTTCACTTTCCATGTCTGTTTTTGCATCTAGGTATTTCTAACACCAGCACACTTTTTACAAGATGTACTTACCTGGCAGACTTGCCCGGGTCACCAAGCAGTGGCCTTTTCTGAGATGCTCAGTTCATTCATATTTTTTAAATACATGATTGTTTTACTTGCTGTGTTTTGCTCTGTCAATGAAAATGTTAAGTTTTATAAGATTTTTTTCTCCCTACTTTGTTACTACTTCTAATTTATATTACCATAGGTTTCTCTCTCGCGCGCACACACAATATCCACACTAACAAGTTTGGTGTATGTTTGTTCTGTAGGGAAAGCTTTGGCTTCATTTAACTAAAAAGAGTTTTTGTTATTGTTGTTGCCAAAGAAAAACAAAAATGATTTTGCTTTCTAAGCTTGACTTGTGGCTTTTCCTCCTCAAAGCCCTTCTCCTTTCTTTTTTAAAACTAATCACTGCATTGTAAATTTTAGTCTTTTTTTTTTTTAAGCCAACTCTTTACTCTAATTTTGATAATGACTTTAGGAGAAAAAAAATGTGAAGAGTGAACTCCAGTGTATGTGGTTATCTGTGAAAGTTGCACAGTGTGGCTTTTCCTAAACTGTTTGGTGTTTTCCCCCCCCATTTGGTGGACTTTTTTATTATTATTATTATTCAAAAACATAACTGAGTTTTTTAAACAGAAAATTTATATCTGGGTTAAGTGTTTATCATATATATGGGTACTTTGTAATATCTAAAACCTTAGAAATGGAAATGGAATCCTGCTCACTAAATCACTTTAAGATCTTTTTTAAGCTGTTATTTTTTTCTTGGTATTGCTGACACTGCAGATTGTACAGTACTCCCACGGGCGTGTACTAACACTGCTAAAGCTCTCTCTGGTGGCTTTTTGCTTTTGTGATATGCTGTAAGTGTGACAAACAATCCAAGAGGTGGAATCATTAAGTGGGAGCATCGCAAGCTATCTTCTCATGTTCTCTCTGTGTCATGTGTGTATTATTGCTGCCAAGAGGGATTGATGGCACGTCGGGGGGGTGGGCTGGGGAGAATGCTATAGGAGGGGAAGTGCTTTAGCTTTTCTTAAGATTTTGTTGCTAGCCTTCAAGCGCACTGAGCTGTGTGACTCTGATGGTCTTTCACGTGGCACATTTGGGTATTTCCAGAACTACCATGAAATGGTTTAGGTGGGAATTCATGAAAGAAAGTAAGGACAAAGAAACGGTGCTCAGGACCTTACAGACGTGGAGGTAGAGCTGAGAGAGGGTGCACCAAGGGAGGGCAGCTGGTTCCTGACCAGCCCCAGCCCAGCATCCCTCCCTCAGCCTGTGGTCAGATCCCCCTGCAAGGACACAGTGCAGCGCCCCCTGCTGGTGAGCAGCAGGCAGACCTCCAGGGACGGCCCCTCTCCTCAGGCCCTCGCTGGGGTCTCTCTGTCACATGAAGTGACGGGTATAGGTAGGAAGCACTGAAAATAGAGTGTTCCCAGAGCACTTTGTAACTCACTGGGTAAGAGGGACAACACCTTTTGGTTTTTCCATACCAATCACATGGAACTTTTCTGTCATGGGTACAATGAAGTTTCTAAAAACACACACACAGAGCACATCAGGCCAAGAATTTGGTAAGCCCTGATGGACTTATTGCCAAAAACAAAAATTAACTTTCAAAAGAAATCTAAGTTATATGAAAAAAATTACATAGTCACGGTGTTGCCTAAATCCTATTTCAGCGGCACATGGTTGCCCGACACACGGTGGCAGAGCCTGAAGGGTTACTGACATGTAAATGCTGATATTTGATCTCCTGTGTGTGT